TAGTGATGCTTCATAATGATAAAATAAGTTTACATAATTATTAAAATGTGGGTTATTCATAAAACACTATATTGATATTTATTTATGATATGTATATACTACATATTTATATTTATGGATATCTAAATATATGTACATATATCTTTTTTTCTAGCAGAATTTCTCAGCTAAAATACACTTGTTTATACTCAAAAGGCTAACTCCAAGTTAGAGCCAGATACTGCATCCCTTGTAGTGTAACTGCTGCACGACCTGAGATATTACTCCCTTGATAGAATAATTTTAATTGTTGTCATTAATAACTTTCCTACCTATGCAGAGTTTCCAATCCCCTTGTCAAATTCTATTTAGTAGTCTCTAAAGCCAAGTTTACTCATGTTCATATTTAGAAGGTAAATTTTGCAGGATGAACTAAAATATCTCACTTCAGAATATGTTCTTTCCTAGAAACATGCATGTTTTAATGACCTGTGGTGTTCTTGGCTGGCACCCCTGCAGGTTTTGTTGACAGCAGAGAAATCAGTGTTGCTCTGGAGTCATCCTAGTTATCTTTTATACTTGGGAAATATGGCATTTTGCACTAATTTTATTCTTGATATGGAAAATGGTGTCTGTTAATGCCCAGAATAGAACAGTGGTATTTTGGTATTTTGTTAGTGAAGGGCATTTCTTTTTTGCATTTCCTTATTTAGAATAAAATCTTGCAGGCAACTATATTTGAAGACTTTACTACAATATACAATCTAGCTCAGCCCATATGTATGTGTATATACATACACATATACACATATATACATACCCATAAATATTTCTACTCATGAATTTTGAGTATTTCTTGTAATAGGGAGCTTGCCAACTCAAGAAAAGGTATATTTGTTAACTTGACGGGTTTTTTGCACAAAAAAGCAGTTTCTTTGGACATCTTACCAAATAAACAAGAAGTCATATTTATTGAATATTCAAGAATGCATCAGATTAATTACAGTAAAAGATTTAAATGACTTTAGTCTTCTTGCAGGTATATTTCTTTTCTTGTTTTATTTGAGACAATAAAAAATAAATATCTGACCAGTTTGAACTCTGAAAAAATCTGGAATGATTGTTAGACATAATTTTTTAAAATAAAATAAGACACAATTCATTAAACAAAGAAGTCTTGAAGGCACATCTAGTCCAATTGTTCCAGGGAGTACGTATATTGAAGGACTGTCATATTTTCTAACTTCTTAGTAAAACTTCCTATCTTTTGCTCCATATTTATCTTTCTTATAACTTTTTTCATGTGCTTTAAACTCTCCTTTCGATTTCTCTATATCTCTCTCCTCACTTTTACTTCTTTTCTATAACGTATTGTCATCATAATTGTTTTTTTCTCTCCTATGTGAGCTGGGTTGTTTTTCCCCTCATACTACTCTCTGTCTCTGCCTCTCCCCATCTCTCCCTTGCTCTCTTTCTTTCATTTTCTCTTTATAGATAGACAGATGATAGATATTGATATAT